CGTTTGTTTGCCTAGGGTCGTTTTCCTTGATTTGAAAACCAGGCATACTTTATCTGTTTATACGATATTTCGGTCCACAAGTTTAAGAAAATCAAAAATAGCTTGATAGAAAATTGCGATTTTTTGGGCTTGTTCCATGTTTTTTTTACACACCTGTAAAGTCAGTGTTCTTATCCTCCCGGTAGAACCTGGTGCCAATTTACCGCCCTTGGAGAGTGGAGGATCAGTTGGATTAGCCGTTGCAGCCTTTTACTCTGGGATGCGAGTGTGATAAATGTGCCACTTGCAATTGGCCACTTCCGCCTCTAAAGAAAAAAGTCTTCGCACTGACCAATCCTATTCTGCAATGCGGCACGCATTTTACTTCCATTCAGAATCGCAGTTTTTTTACTGAATACGATGTGACCTATAGAATGAGTTGTGGGCGCTGGCCGATGTACGAGTTAGTGTTCTCTTTCCGGAAGAATCTCTCACCAGTCTACCGTATCAGAAGGGTAGAAGTCTTAGTCTGGATGTGAGCTAATCAGGGACTTGCAGTCGGACCGTTAGCATGGCAAATGCCCAACCCGCCACTTAAAGGCTTCCCGCGACCACAGTTCATAGGTAATACAGTTCAAAAAGAATTGCCGTGTGTTTGTTGACTTATTGAAGAAGAAGGAAGCACGAAAAAGCGCCCGGAATAAGACCCTCTTTATTGCAATTGATCATGATCACCGGACGAGCGTAAGGTGGTCAAGATCAATTGTGAATTGCGAAAGGCGGCGATACACTGATAAGAGACGAGAGAGGCCAGAAAACGACGGGCGAGAGAGCGCAATGGCAGTCTCACAACGACACGGTCACTGGAGGCCGGCATGGGCCTATCGGGCGCCAATGGGCCTAAAACCTGAGCGCCCTGCGTTTTGCTTGCTGTTTTTCAACTTTTAACTTTTAGAAGCAGCATGGCCTTTGACGTTGCCTGCTTGACCATCGTGCACGGTTATGAACTAGCCTTAAGGGGGGGGCTTATCGGCGGAAACGTGCTTTAATATTTCAACCATTGTAGACAATGCAAGCAAATTATTTTAGATTTGTAACTTTTGCAGCTTATATGAAGAAACTATGGCCCCTTCAATGATGAAAGACTATTGGAGCAACTTTATATAAGAGTATATGGAATTGTAATAAAATCTGTAACTGTAATTCAACGAAATATTGATTGCTGTCCAGTTTGAATGTGCTATTCTCGAATGCCTTTGGAGTTGGAGTGAGTCATTCAAATAACGTGTTAATGTGTAATACACTGATGACGAGGTGTTAAGCACAAGTACAAGCACTTGTTGAGTTTATAAAGCTGCTAAGACAGTACATGGCGGTTTCACTGTGTTCAACTACAGGTTGAATTTCTCAAGTTCCCGAATACCGGGGGAAGAAGACATGTCATCACTGAGAGAATATATGCGGAGTTTATATACCGACACTAGCTGTCAAAGTTTTGAAGGATAAAGAAAATTTTCCAAATTTCAAGGTGAGGTTCCGATTTCATCGAAATGTAATGATAAGTTCAGTTGATTTCGTTAGACTGTTAGGCTAAAGGCAATGTGTAGACAACTTCGGTTGTCGATTGTGAACAAATTTTATGCGGCCAGTGCTAGACCGACCTCTGTTACCAAGAACAAAGTTCTTGGTGCGAAGGTCGATCTCGCAGTGGGCCTCATCAACTGTCAAGGGGAGGACTATATTACAAGTGTTCAATTATAATCTTCACTTATAACCTTTTTCCTCTTCTCAGGAAGTAGTATGAATAGCGTGTGCTCCTTCTCTCTGTCTTAATGTTTAGTGGAAATATTAAGTTTCAGCGAGTTTATTATATAGTGTAGCAATTTGTGGCACACCTTATGGTGTAAATAATAAATAAATAAAAAGTATACAGCCTTGTTCGCTGCGGATGATGGGGCGTGTCAATGAGCTACGTTTGACGCGACGCTAGATAGTCCTCCATCAATCGTGGGAGCTTGCATAACTACCCCGCCTCCGCCCCCCCCCCCCAACACGCCCTAACAACAGTGCAAATTTGCTAGTGGTGCAGCAGTAACGAAGAAACGGCGAGAACCTCTAGGAAAAAACAAGCACTTTTCTGGGGTCGAGAGTATGCTGCGCACAGGAAAAGCTTACTTTCTTAATACCTCGAGAAGTCATTTCGGACGAGTTTCCCGTAGGCATCGTGCCAATAATCGCTACCGTAGATACGGCTGCACGTGTTTATCTATCCATGGAGCACCGCGTCCGCTTTATACCAATCCCATCAGGCACCGTCGTCCATTTGTGGGCGGGCGGGCGCGGTGGGCGTACGGGTCGGATGTTGCAGCTTGATACGGTGACACAAAGGTACCTTAATTGAATAGGGCGCTCAGGGGAGCGACTTAGCGTCTTAGCGCCTTCTTAACAACTCTACGGCTCAACAATCTCTTCAGTAGAATGTTCTGGACTTCCGTGGGTTTTCGCGGACCGTTCTTTCAAGGGCGAGCCCCACGATTGCATATCGTAAACAGTGGCGTTCATTTACAAACGTACATGCCTTTGTACGAGTTTTCCGGACCTGCGCTTTCCATGCCAGCGAAGCGATATCCTATCGCATCTGACTCACTAATCGTTTATTCCATGTTTCATGTGAAAAAAAGCTAACTAATCGTTCCATGTAAAAAAAACGGCAAACGCGATGTGAGGAGAGAACTCGCGGCAGAAAATATCCTTTGAGATTTGGTGGGCGTGACAATTAGAGAGGCGTCAGAACTGCCACTGATGAGAGCCACAACGCCTTCATTACTTACTGTGCTGCGGAAGTGGGGTAAGCTTACAGAATGAAGACTAGGCTACTTTTTAATGGAACGAGCCTGCGAATCGGTGTAGCATGGACTGTCTTCAACACATTTCAGTCCAGATGTTCCACCACACACGGTACATTCCTATGCCCTTGAGGTTTTATTCAATAATCCTTTTCAATTCAGCGTCAGCGATAAGATGTTTCGTCAGAATTTTGATTTGAGTTAAGAATAAAACACTGAACACCTCGTGTATTCCTATGATCCTGAACGTTGCTACTTTTCAAGGGTGTCGCCATTGGGAATGGTGCACTTAATTTTCTTCACAACTACGAGACCATGTTCCCGTTGTATTACTACCATGGGCTTGTCCGTGATGAGTAAGTACCTTTCGCGTTGATAGATTTCACCAAATACTTTGAATTCGAATCTTCTGCAGACTTTACTTCAACTTTTCATCGACTTGCTGTGGAAATAACATCGAGACCTGTAACATCGTGACTATATTCAACGACCCTCTCTGCTCTTCAATTGCTTTAGAGGTGATGTCTCTATAA